GGTACATTCTCTTGTCTACCAGAATGAGGTAGCTGTGAATGTCGCATCGAGAGATTTCTGTTACTCCCTGTTCTTTGGCACAAGGAGGACACCAAGTTTGACAGAAGAAATTGCCGCTAATAATGTCCGAATTTTTTATCTCTGACAGGTCTGTGGCTGAATCTGGGCAACACGCCTCTTTCCCTTTGACACTGGAGTATAACCCGTGTCTGTACTTGGGATGTCGTGACTGTTGCTAAAGATCACAAAACCCAGAACTTTTGGTTACCTTTAAAAAAAGCTTGAAATAGCTGTCGCATAATTAACACAGATGAACTTTTCTGCAGTTGTTAGTATTCCAGAAATAGCTCATTAAGTTGTATTAGCTTTTGGAAATCCTGCAACAACTATTGCAACAATCTGGTCAGCCATCCATTTCTAGCACATTCCATGTAACACAAGGTCTCCTCAGGAGCCAGATGATGTTGTGATTTTGCCCATAAAAACCATATGTGAGGCAAAACTGAAACATAATAAAATACATTCCCCAGTCACTTCTGTAACAGTGAGAGTGTGTGTTCTGAGCTGGGAAGCTGACACTTGCTCTATCTCCCTCCGCAGTCTGTGCTCTTATCAACCACTGGAGGCCCGCGGCTTCCTCCTCTCAGAAGATTGATTTTGAATTTTTCAAACTGATTAATGTTTTCATTTGAATGGTAATGCTGAGTTTGCAGAAGATGTGATCTTTTAATTAGCAGATGCCGAGATTAGCATTGGGATTGAGCAGTAATTAGCGTTTGTTCTTATAGACCAAGAACACATACTCACTGCCACAGTAAATAGAGCAGCTGCAACCCTGTACCTGGCCTCTTTAGATTGCCTTTATGAGAGAGGTGAAAAGTTATTAAAATACTTAATCACTGTGGTGTTTAAAACATTTTTTAAAAATCAAGGATTGGGCGATGCCTGTGGCTCAGTGAGCAGGGCACCAGCCCTATATACTGAGGGTGGTGGGTTCAAACCTGCCCCAGCCAAAC